GATGTAACCAAAATTACCACACAGAGTATAAGTAAGTAACAACTGAGCTATTCTGTACTCTTTCTAAATATTCCATCAATTAATATGAACTATAAGAGAAATATTGAATAAAGTATTAAGCTATTTACTCATGAAAACTTTAAATTATTTACCTGAGTAAAAACGCTTAGAACACCACATCTTTCTGTCTTCACCTCGTGTTTCTGTAAAGAAAACAACAACTGTACAACTACAAATTAATAATAAACTACTTAAGTACTATTTACTATGTTTTCATTATTCTCGCATGAACATAACACTATCTGAGAAACAGATTATGCATATGAAAAACCATAATATACAGTGCAAGCGATAAGTTTACAACATGAATAAAAATCCAACTGGATTTATATAACACTAGTGTCTTAGTATGTATAAAATTTTATGATGATACGTGGAAAAGAATCTTCTTTACACGTTGTATTTCGTTCTGGAGTGAAACTTGGGAACAAAAATTATCTATAATAAAAAATCATTAAAGGTTTCTATAAAAAAGTGTAAACTTAGTATTATATACAAATTGTAATTACACACTGACTCAAAGTGAACGTCCCAATTATTTTCATCTAAACCTCCCAACTGTCTGAGTTTTTTATTGTTTTTTTTTTAATTAGAACTTCAACAACAGTGAGAAACCCTAGAAAAATCCTGCACATGTGCACACTATTAGCCATTTGCAGGGAACATACACTGAGTTTCTTCAAAAACTGAACACTACTCACCAGGATAGGCATTCCATGCGTGCGAAAAAACAGGTTTAATGCTATGAAAAGTAGAAGAAAAAAATCGCTGCATTGTTTGCTTCTATGCAATTTTGAGTTCCCCGAACTTGAACGAACAACGTCTACGTGCGCTGAGTCACATCATTTTCGCTGAAAAAAGTAACAAAGACGTGAGCAAGCGCACTTACGCTCACTTCTCAAGGATTTTATGCTTTTCTCCACTTCATATAGAAGTGTTAAGATCTCAAACTGTGGGTAATAAAACAAATAGTTTGTATGAGAACACTCAATTGGTGCCTATATACAGAATTCTATAATTCGCTCTGTTTCTTTGCTTTTGCTAAACATTAACTAGCGGACCTCAACGAAACGAACTTAATCGACTGTTGTGTTATTGAATAATTAAAGTTTATAAAATTTATTTGATAGAATAAACACGTATTTCTTTAGAAGCAAATATCACTTGTGGTAAATTACATGTACAATTACAATCGTTCATTTGTCATTTTCAGCCCACTTTACAGAGAACATGTTTATCATTTGGCGAGACTTGAGTAACAAATGTAAAACCAGTCAATTTCAATATGTTTACAGATAGTAGTTTCAAAGTTGTGAAGGTGTTTGTAATTTTAAACCCGAACTAAACGGTTAGATCAGGTATAACCGTCCCTGGTTTATAAAAACCTATTACAGTTCCGAAAATTGACCAATTGATAACTGACATAAAATCAGTAAATACACCAAATAAGCACTCATCCACTTTTCTTTTTGGCGTTATAAGCCCTCACGCTTACATTTGAACCTACATTATTTCTGAGTATGACTACTTTAGTACATTGTCATACATGAACACCAATAGACAATAATAGTTTGTGAATATACAAGCCAAGCTAACTTAGTTACTTCTGTAATGTGTAGGAGAGACAAAGGCTGTTTTTATTACTGTACAATCCAGAGCATGGTTTGTTTCGAAATATACAACTATTTCCACCTGTAGGATAACTTCATGAGGCAAGTTATAATTTAATGGTAATTTCATTAAATTATTCCCTGATCCATGTGTGAAACCACAGCCAAGGGAACGGGCTTGGAAAAATCAGCGTGGAAAGATTATTAATTGTTTATAGGCAATTAAATCAGCACTATAAAACAATAATGAATTAAATATCGCAATACCGTTTTCGGTCCTAGTTGTCAACTTATTGTCATAACGGATAATGTCTGTGGTAATAGCACCCAAATGCGTTGGGGATATCCCACCTATCAGACAATATCAAAACGCCGATGTCAATCTATCCAGTCGTCATGGAAAATCATAAAAAAAATCATCAGTCAAATAAGGGTACGATACCGAGTGTTTACACCCACAACGTCTCAGCTTCTACTGCCTTTCACTGACATTATTCGTTATGACAATAATTTGACAACCAGGACCGATAACGGTGTATATATTAACACATTGTATTTTTATATATAACGACCATATAGTTCACAAACTTACAATCTTCGTTGTTTACAAACGTCTTCTAAAGTCCACTCTGCAGTTTTTCGTTTCATAATTTTTGCGCAAAGCAACACAAAGGGTAATCTGCGCATACCCATCCATAATTTTGAATAGGTAAAATAGTGGGAATGTAGCTAGCCAGTCAACAACACTCATTGTCAACTCTTGGGCTACTTGCCAAATAGTGGGATTTGACCGACATTTCTTTTTTTAACGCACCCATGGCCCCAAAGTGTGGGACACGTTTTTTGGTAACATGCAGTCAACCATGAACCTTGAAGCTCAGTCTAAGCATGATCACCATTGGGCTATGCTCGTCTCCTTTTCTAAATAGCAAAGAAAAAGAAAGTAAAATTTTTAGGCTGTGATTGATAAAGTCAGTTTTTTTCATCTAAACACAAGGTCACCATTTACATAAAAGAAAAATGATATAGCCACTTGAGTAAAGACTGACTTGTATATATATACACACACACACACTTGATACAAAGTGATAAGGGGAACCAGTATGCCCCTGGCAATGGTGGAGTTTATCACACATTTGAAACCAAGTGGGTGTGAGTAGAAATGTGATCGTCATTATTAGTAACATTTGGGTATTACATGCATACTGTGTTTATCAAAACGTCATCGTTTTGTAGTTTAGTTTTTCCTCAAGGAAACACTTAACTGAGGAAAACACAAAAGACAGCTTAACTTCAGTAGCGAATTTGTTTGTTGTTTATTTTATTTTTTTAAGGAACAAGTTCAACCATATTTTATCAAACCACTGGTAATTGTGGATGTAACAACACCAAAGAAACGTAGACCATGAATTCACTAATTTCCTTTTAATAAAGGCTCACGTAGTTGAAATTTCCGTTTTATGATTTTCTTGTATAAATCTTGCTATTCTATTGGATCCATGCAACTTCACTTAGAGAAATCGAACCCCGGATTTTAGTGTTGTAACTTCGTAAACGTACCGCTGACCCACCGGGAAACATCTGTCATATTACAGTAAATCAATCCATTAGAAACCTTGAATAGTATGAGATGGAATATAGTAAACTATTTTGTGGAGTTTTATCAAAGCGATTTATACTAAATAATGTTTGTTAAGCTGATATTTGTATAATTATTCCTCGTAATTAAGATTACGATCTGAATTAATCTTACGCAATTCCTTTATAGGAATAAAACCATCAAAGGATACACAACTTCCATACGGGGTACCCTCACTTGCTCAAGTTTCACAAACTAGGTGTGAAAATTAAATAGTACACGATAAAAGACTAAAACATGACATGGAAATTTTAGTTTATATCTGAAATCAGTTTAAAAAAGAATGAGCGTGAAATGGAGATTGAGAAAGTACCTAAAAACATTAAAACTACTGGGGAAATATTTGAAAGTAATCAAACAGAGCAAAAGTTAAGTAACAAAAACACCACCGCCACCAGCAAGATAATGGTCTTCCCTTTGAACCAAGTAATGAAAAGATGTTTAAATTTTTTACTGCCATTCGTGTAGATAAAGCCAGTGAATATTTGGCCAAAACTAATTTTATTGTAGAAATAAGTCTTGTTTTGTTTGTTTGTTTGTTTTTTATCATAATGATATAATAACTTATCGCCTTCAAAATGAAGTTTAAATAAACATATTTCTTATCCGATCCACTTAAGCTTGTAGTACGCGCTCGTCATACTGTTGCTTAATGTTAAAATGGAAATGATAAATCAGCTTTTCCGGTAGAAATGAAACCCGTTAGTGGTTGTTGCTATTAGTTAGGGTGACCAGAAGTCCCGGTTTTGCTGGTACAGTACTCCACCCCCCCCCCCATTTTTTGTTTTTTGGTAGTTTGTCTTAGTGTCCTAAGAAAATTTCTCGGGACACAAAACCTCTCGGTTCTCTTCGGATCACGAATGAATAAGCCTACTTGACTTCCTCATTGTTGTAAGTTGTTACTCTTCCGCCAAACTTTCTTGAAAGTTCTGTCTATGCGTGGTGAAAAACCCAGGTCTGTGCAGGTCTGAATACGGAGACAATTAAGACAGTGCTTATTGACAAAATATACTTTACACAGTCATGCAGAGGTGTCCTTAGGTGCTTGAAAGATTCTGGGCTCGGGCCCAGAGGCGCGAAGATTTTCGCCGATCATGGTTTCATAATCTGATTTTAAGGCACCAACTGAGAATCCGGTGCACGAATCCCGCGAGCCAATGCCTAGCGATGCCTCTGCATTTTATGATTATTTAATGAAAGAAAAAAAACAGAACTTCTACGTTCCATTCATTCTTCACAAAAATGTGTCTAAAAAGTTTCAAAGTAATGCTAAAACCTAAAAGCAGTTATGTCTGAACATGTTACGGATTCGAAATAAACCCATGTATGAAGTAGCCTGTTTTAAGATGAACTGGATAAAGTGAATAATTGTTTGTTTTGAATTTCACGCAAAGCTACACGAGGGCTATCTGCGCTAGCCGTCCCTAATTTGGCAGTGTAAGACTAGAAGGAAGGCAGCTAGTCATCACCACCCACCGCTAACTCTTGGGCTATTCTTTTACCAACGGATAGTGGGATTGACCGTCACATTATAACGCCCCCACGGCTAAATGGGCGAGCATGTTTGGTGTGACGGGGATTCGAACCCGCGACCCTCAGATTTCGAGTCTAGCGCCCTGACCACCTGGCCATGCCGGGCCGAAAGTGAATAATTAAAGATTTCTTGAATGTATTATGTTGACACTGTATTCTTGAATACTTGATCAATGAATAAAAACTAAAACATTATAAGATGCATTTGCTGTATAGGAAAATTGTAATGTGCTCATTTTCAGAAATGTCTGATAAGCGTAATAGGAATAAAATAAAAACACCTACAAGTAAAACTTCTGCACTGCATGAATCAGCCAATTTTCGTGCAAATGATATTCCAACATATACTTTATTAATACAA